GTACCGTGGTCCGGCAGGCAGGAGTTGTCGGGCGGGCCGGCGGACACGGCGCTGACGTGTGCCCGCAGCAGCTGGATGATCTCGTTCAGCTGCTCGCGGTTGCTGTCGCAGTCCACGAAGATCTCGAACTCCGAGCTGCGCCGCTTCGACTTCCGGGACTCGATGTGAACCAGGTTGACGTGCTTCTCCTGAGAGGGAGGGAGAGGAGGGAGAGTCTTCATTATCCCCGGGGGGGTTTTACAGCAGCAGTGCTGGTGTACAGACAGACACAAGAAACAAAATGACAGGAGCAACAATCTACATATTTACATAGAAGGTGGAGTGTTGAGTGTTGAGTAATGGCTACAGGTATGAATGAGAACTTCAGTCTGTTGATTCTGCAGTTGGGGAGTCGGTATCTGCGTTCTGATGGGAGTAACTGGAGATTTCGAATCAAGGGGTGTGAAGGATGGTCACAGATGGATTTTGCTTCACGCAAAACACGTCTCTGATAGATGGAGGAGAGGAGAGGAAGATCAACACCAGGGACCCCCTGAGATCTCTTTACCAGGCTGCCCGGTGTGTTCCTGCCTCTCAGACTCAGGCTGCCGAACCAGCAGATCAGGGTGAAAGTGAGAATAGATTCCAGGAAGGACCCCCGGGACAAAATCGACGCCGAATCGTCGACCTTAAAACGCTCGAGCTTTTCTGAGGATCGGGTCAGTAGTGGCTTGGAGTCCAGACCAGCTCTACCAGCTGCCCTGTCAGGGCGGGAGTGTGGAGGGCAAAGACCACCGTTAGTCTCGGAAGACATCTGGCTTGGGGAGAAGGAGGAAGAAGACAGGGCGGGTGTCACAGTCGTCGTCCCTCCTCTAGAGGGAGCTCTGACCTTTTATTATTGGTTTCATGAGCACGTGCGCCTGTCTCCTGTCTGACCCGCCACTCTGGAAGTTGCGCGCCTCCTGAGCTCTGGGCTCAGTATTGGACGTCTGAAGGCCGGCCTGTCCACCGGCTCGGGAGAAGCCCGAGGGCAGGACCTCTTCCCCAGGCGTCCTGACCGTCTGAGTCCGGGGCTCGGAGCGCCTGGTCCCGTTACGGTTTCGTTCGCCATGTCCCTGGATCCCTTTTCCCTCTCTGCGTCTGGGATTGATCTCCCAGCTACCTGGACGTTGGACTGCGCCCTGTTTTTTTTTTCCTTTTGGGGCTCCCACTGGACTTGTTCGTCTGCTGCGCCGCCCCCCCATCTGTCCCCCCATCCACTCCTCTCCGTGTTTTTTCCCTATTGTCCTGCTCCAGTCTCTTCCGGATTGTACCGTCTGCACAGGGTCCTGAACTAGGCGCTACAGTTTAGGTCACTACACTACAGGACAGTAGTGACCCGCGCCCCGACCCGGCCCGTGACAGCGGGTCGGGGCGCGAGGGAGGGAGACGGATTTTGCGGAAAAAAGCAGAAACTGAACCCCCCCTCCCCCGCTGCCCCCCAGAGAAGAAAGGCAAGCCGAGCACAGGCAGCCGTGTCGCTCTCTACCTGTACCTGGAAGAGTTTGAGCGCCTTCACCAGCCCTCCCACCTCATTCTTCAGCGAGAAGACCACGGCGGCGCGGCCGCGCTCGGGCGCCTGGCTCCTGTTGTCCCCGTTCTCCTGGATCCTGCTGAAGGTGGAGCGGTTCATCTGCGGGGCAGGAGCAGCGGAATCAGCCGGGGGGAACGTCGGGGGGCCGCGGGGTTCGGGCTCCACCGAGACCACCCGCCCGTCAGCTCTGCAGAGCCGGCGCTGTGCTGGGGGGTGATTCTGGCTTGACGTTCGGCCCTTCACCGCAGAAACATCGCTAGACTGCGCCCCGTGCTATCACTCACTGGGGCTGAAAAGCTCATCGACTCGTGTGTGTTCTCTCGAATTGACCACTGTAATGCTCTACTCGCTGGGGTTTCTAAATCCACACTGAACAAACTGCAGTCTGTCCAAAATTCGGCAGGCAGAATCCTGACCAGGTCTGGTGCAAGTGATCACGTTACTCCTGTCCTGGAGTCCTTGCACTGGCTTCCGGTCAAATCCTCCTGCTCACCTATAAGGCTCTGCATGGCACCTCAGTGCCTGTCTGAGTTACTATCGCCCTACTCCCCACCTCGCAAGCTTCACTCCTCTAATTCTGGTCTCCTGTGTGTCCCCCAAGCCCGTCTGCACTCTAGGGGTGACAGGGCCTTCCCCTGCTGCACCCCAAAACCCTGGATCTCTCTCCCCAAGGATATCAGAGGGTCTCCTTCTCTAAACTCCTTCAGATCCAGA